TGCTAAGAGGGTATGCAAGGTCAGGTCGAGTGCAGGTCATCAGGTATATGAGGCAGCCCACAAGCTCTGGATATGGGCCACTCGGCTCTACGGACTCATCCGAAGGCAGAGCTGAGAGCGAGTGGCGCGTAGGCAGAGGAGTGGCCTGTGGCGAGGAGTACGTGAAGCGGAAGCGCTAAAGGACCTGCTGCACCATGTGTGACTGAGTCAAGGTAATGGTGCGATGTGCTCTATCCCGGGTGATCCGCAAGCCAAGATAGCTTGTCAGTTCACCCAGGTCTGTGCACGTGTGTCGCTTCTGCAGCTTCGACTTCACGTGGGCGAGTGCCTCAGTGTCAGCAGTAGCAAAGACCAGGTCGTGTACGTACACGAGAACGTAGAACGGCGGCAGAGTGGTGTCGATGCGTAGAAACAGCGACGGGTCAGCAGTAGAAGGAGCAAACCCAAGAGCAGCAAGAGTCGTCCTCAGTGTGTCGTGCCACTCACGGGGTGCCTGGCGGAGACCGTAGACTGGCCGCCGGAGGCTCCACTGGGTACCAGCAGGAAAAGACCCAGTGAAGCCAGGTGGGCGGCGCAGCCAGATCTCCTCGTGCAGGCTGCCCCGTAGGAAAGCAGTGCTGAAGTCAAGAGAGTGGAGCTCGTAGTCACGCCGAGCGGCGACGTGCAGCAGAACCCGAAGAGTGGTCATCTTCGGGGTAGGGGAGAAGGTATGGAAGAAGTCAACTCCCTCTCGCTGACTGAAGCCTCGTGCAACGTAACGCGCCTTGAAGACAGGCGGTGAACCCGGCGGCCGCTTCACCCTGAAAATCCACATGCCACTGACGATGTTCGCCCCAGGTGGGGGAACCTCGTCGACGTAGGTGCCTGTGGACTTCCAGGAAGCCATCTCTGCGTCCATAGCTGTCTGCCACTGAGAGGAGTAGGGACCCTCTATCGCCTCTGCGTAAGAGCGCGGGGTCGGGATGTCTGGTGCATCCGGGTCTCCCTCAGGGGCAATCAGCATGGACACGAGATGAGGTAAAGCAGCGGCAAAGCACTCAAACTCCTCCTGTCTGTCCTCAAGGACGTCCGTGCCAAGAGCACACTCACCCCCGACGGACGGAGGACAGACAGACTCAGACTCAGCAACAAGGCTAGCGGCGTAGTCTAGACGAAAGGCAGCAGCAAAGTCAACAAGCTCAGCAACTAGAGCAGACGCAGCAGTGGACCCAAACGAAGGGTCAGTGACAGCAGTAGCTAGAAGACGTGTGACAGTAGGACTGGCAGCACGAGCAAGGTCTGACGGCGGGTCAGCAACGTCAAGAAGAGAAGACGCAGGAGGAGACGGCAGAGGGACACGCTGTGGAGCAGTGGACGGACGCAGGGTCATATAGTGAGTGCCAGGGACAGGAGGAGGACGCTGACGCGGAGCACGACGACCAGCGCGGACAGCGCGGACAGGCGACTCTGGACGCGACGAAGGCGACGCTGGACGAGACTCAGGCGACGGAGGACGAGACTCAGGCTCACGACGCTCCGTAAGACTACCCGTCGGCGCAATGTAAGGAGAAGGACCAGGCAGCGGAGAGGCTGGCTGTAACTGTGACTGCGACTGGACAGGCGGTGGACTCAGTAGGGGAGGAGTAGGACCAGTAGAGGGCGGGAGGCCAAGAACCTGCTGAAGAAGCGGAACGTAGTACGGCCGCGGCCGCGCAGCGCCTCCTGAACCAGCAGAGACAGCACCAGGACCCTCAGCGCCAGGGTCTCCAGCCACAACTCCCGCAGCACCACCAGCAGCTCCAGTAGCTCCAGCTCCAACTCCCTCAGCAGCACCAGGACGACCACCTCCAGAACCAGCAGCAACAGCACCTCCAGCTCCAACTCCCGCAGCAACACCAGTACGAGCACCTCCAGAACCAGCGGCTCCAGCAGCTCCAGCACCAGTAGTACCTCCAGCAGCACCAGCACCTCCAGCTCCAACTCCCTCGGCAGCACCAGTACGAGCACCTCCAGAACCAGCGGCTCCAGCAGCTCCAGCACCAGCAGCACCTCCAGCAGCTCCAGCACCAGCAGCATCTCCAGCAGCAGGCCCCTCAGCTCCAGCAGCACGGCTACAGCGCCTAGCGTACCACTCACGAAGCTGCCGTGGAGAGAGGGGCTCCCGCCGCAACGGGACACTCGGAGGACCTCCAGTCTCAGCACCCCCAGACTCAGCAACCCCAGGCTCAGCACCCCCAGGCTCAACACGCTCAGGCTCAGCACCCCCCGGCTCAGCACCCCCAGACCCAGCACCCGCTGGCTCAGCACCTCTAGCAGCACCAGAGTCAACAGCTACCTCGACAGGCTCGACCGCGTCTACCTGGGACACACCTGAGGGGGCAGGACCCTGAGGGGGAAGGGGGTCTACCTGGGGAGGACCTGGCGCGAGGAAGAGCGGCGGGGGGGGGGAGGGGGGCAGCGCGGTAGGGGAAGAGACGGTAGTAGGGAACCGACTCGTCAAACGTGACGTCCTGAGAGGACAGAACACGGCGCGAGGTGGGGTGGTAGAACTGCCAACCAGGCGCGTCAGGGGGAAAGCCAAGGAAGGCGCAGGGAACGGCACGAGAGGACAGCTTGTCCGCAGACAAGTCGCGGACGAAAGCCCAAGATCCCCAGACACGGAACACAGACGCATCACCAACCTTCCCCGTCCACCGCAGAGTGGGGGTGGTCTCCGGCATGGAGACCCGGGGCTGGAGGTTGATCTGATGCGCCGCGTACTGAACCGCGAACGGCCACAGAAAGTGGGGAGCAGCCGCATGGATCATGGACGTACGAGCGACATCCATGACCATGCCAATGCGGCGCTCAGCAATCCCATTTTGCTGTGGAGAGGCCGGAAGCGTGAACGCCTGGCGGATGCCCTCCGCCCGACAGAAGGCCCGCAGAAGGTCAGAGGAAAACTCACCACCTCTGTCGGAGTGCAGACGCACAACAGGAAAGTCCGAGCCGAAGCTCTTCCTGAGCTGGAGACGAGCAGCGCGGATCCAGTCGATCAACACCTCAGTGACCTCACCCTTGCGGCGCAAGGGGAAGACTGTGGTGTAACGCGAGAAGTCGTCAACGACCAGCAGGAAGTAACGCTCGTGACCCTGTCCACGGAAGTGGGCTGGGCCCCACACGTCCATGTGAAGAGTCTGCAGTGGGGCCTCTGTCAGAGGAAACTCGGAGGAGTGATGAGCGGCGCGCTGCCGACCCTCGACGCAGGGAACGCAGGTAGGGGCAGGCCCCGGAGGAAGGGGAGGGAGGGACTTAGGAAGACGCGAGACCAGGACACGGGAGACCATGCCTTGAAGACGAGGCAGGGAGGGGTGACCAAGGCGGTGGTGCCAAAGAAGAGTCTCGTGGGCCAGGAGGCGGCACGAGCAGGGGGCAGACTCAGGGCCAGACCGGGACGCCGCAGCAAACACCTGACCCGACGCGGCTACCTGACGAGGAGGAGACTCAGTGGTAAGGGTGTACAGGCTGGACCCCGGCCTACGGGTGAACGTGGCCAGGTGACGACCCGTCCGAGCACACGTGCAGTGCGTCACACGCTGGTGGGCAGGGGTGAACTGGTGAACACCCCCATCCTGTAGATCAGCACCCGCCACCAAGTTCGTAGAGAACGAGGGGAGGTACAGACCAGACAGCGAGCCGGACGGAACAGCAGGACACGGGAGGACAGTGGAGGAACCGGCCACAACCGGTCCCCCAGAGGGGTCAGCCAAAGAGACTGCCACCGGCCGACTGAGCGGCGAGAGGGTGGTGCAGTCGCGAAAGAAGGAGCGGGAGGCACCCGAGTCAAGGGTGAAAGTGTGAAAGACCTGTGCCGACGCTGTGCCTGAGAGAGCAGCCTTACCAGCACCTGGAGCAGCAGACTCACTAGCACCTAGAGAAGCAGCCTCACCAGTACCTGGAGCAGTAGACTCACTAGTACCTAGAGCAGCAGCCTCAATGCCCGGGTCGGGCGGAACACACAGGTAACAGTCACCCTCATCACTAATAGACACAGCATACATAGCAGCAAGGATAGCATCATAGTCAAGATCAAAGTTAGCAACCCCCGACTTAAGCAGAATATCCCAGCGAGGGATCTCCGAGGAGCCAGGGAACTGAGCGCGCCAGGCGTCAGTCAGGCGACCGAAGCAGCGTGGTGTGGTGTGCGGGCCTCCGCACGGCTCACCACGGCGGTCGCCGGTGCGAAGAACGTAGGTGCAGGGACCAGCACCCCCAGACCTCCCACGCCCAGCGTACCACTCACGAAGCTGCTGAGGCGACGGGGTCTCACCGGAGCGCTGCTGCTGCTGGCGCTGGCCACCGCCAGGGCCTCCCCGCTGCCCACCACCACCCCCTGTTACGATACAATCTGAGCTGGCAACCGGGTTTAACTAAGGGCCTAGGCTTAGAAGCCTAGGCCAAGCGGGTATCGAGGGAGTTGTGCCAAGAGAGAATCGAGAATGATTGTGGTTCACTATAGCACACAAGGTACATATAGCAAACTAGCAAAGGTGCACCACCAACAACAAGGAAACATAACTACACTAAAGCTAAAGCTACAGGCAGTTATAAACATATATAAATATATATCGCGACACACCCCTTTAACTGCCTGCAGCACATAGCTAGAGGAAGTCACACCCCTTGAAGGGGTATTGCAGGCGCAGTGAAAGACGGCAGAGAGGTAAGTGAGGAGGAGGAGGCGAGAGAGAGAGAGGATAGGAGAGGAGATAAGAACAAAGGAAGAGGTGAATGAGGGATGAGGAGAGGAGGTCGGGGGGTGGCCGTGGTGTCCCCTCTTACTAACCCCCTTTTACGAAGGGGGGGTTGAGTGGGGGATGAGGAGAGGAGGTGGGGGGGTGGCCGCAGCGTCCCCTCTTACTAACCCCCACATCCCCACCCCCAATCAACCAACCCCCTTTAACCTCACCCCCCATTTCAACCGCCCCCTGGAACCGCACTCCCTCCCCCTCTTTCTTCCTCCATACCCCTCCCCACCCACGATGATCCCTGTTCAGTCCTTCACAGGTGGGGTTGCTGGTCACAGGTGGGGCTGCTGGTCACAAGTGGGGCTGCTGGTCATAGGTGGGGCTGCTGGTCACAGGTGGGGCTGCTGGTCACAGGTGGGGCTGCTGGTCACAGGTGGGGCTGCTGGTCCTGGTGCCTGGTGCTGGCGTGACGGCGCTGGTGCTGGTGCCTGGTGCTGGCGGCTGGCGCTGGTGCTGGTGCCTGGTGCTGGCGTTGGCGCTGGTGCTGGTGCCTGGTGCTGGCGGCTGGCGCTGGTGCTAGTGCCTGGTGCAGGTGCTGGTGCCTGGTGCTGATGGGGCGCGACGGGTGGGACGAGCTGCAGACGGGCTACAGGCTGGGCGGGATCTGACGGTGGGAGGCGCGCAAGCGCTGGTGCGATCGCCGGTGCGCTGGCGGTGATCGCTGGTGTTCCGCCGCCACTTCCTTCCCCCTTTTCCTCTCTCCCCCACAGCATTCCGCCGCCACTCCCTTCCCCCTTTCCCTCTCCCCCCCATAGCGTTCCGCCGCCAATCCCTTCCCCTCCTCCCTCTCCTACCCACAGCGACCGCCGCTGCACACGCGAACAGTCGCGATGGGGGGGGGTGACGGGCAGGGGGCCGGGGGAATGCGATGGGCGGAGCGAGGCGACGGGAGGGAAGAAAATGGGACGGGGGGGGAAGGGCCGCGACGACCGCCACAGACGCCGTCCCCTTCATTCCCGATGCCCCCCCCCCCCCCCCCCCCCTTCCCCACTCTCGCGCAAACTCGGCAGCAGGCGTAGGCGCGGGCAGAGGTGGTGACGGGGGGGAAACGCGACGGGCTGATGACGAGGGAAACGCGACGGGCTGGCGACGGGGGAAACGCGATGGGCTGGCGACGGGGGAAAACGCGACGGGCTGGCGACGGGCAGGCGACGAGGGAAAAAACGACGGGCTGGTGACGACGGAAACGCGGCCGACTCGCCGCCGCGCCCGTCGCAGCGAGCGCCGTGCCGCGAATGGGTGGGCCCATTAACTTAGGTCAGGATTTTAATCGCTCTGATACCATGTTACGATACAATCTGAGCTGGCAACCGGGTTTAACTAAGGGCCTAGGCTTAGAAGCCTAGGCCAAGCGGGTATCGAGGGAGTTGTGCCAAGAGAGAATCGAGAATGATTGTGGTTCACTATAGCACACAAGGTACATATAGCAAACTAGCAAAGGTGCACCACCAACAACAAGGAAACATAACTACACTAAAGCTAAAGCTACAGGCAGTTATAAACATATATAAATATATATCGCGACACCCCCGCCACTCCCACCTCCTCCGCCGCCACCGCTACCTCCACCCCCACTCCCGCTGCCTCCGCCGCCTCCACCTCCACCGCCGCCGCCTGAGCCCCCAGTCCCGCCACCACTCCCACCTCCACCGCCACCCCCTCCTCCTCCTCCACCACCACTGCCGCCGCCCCCACCGCCCCCTCCACCCCCCTTGCCCCACTTGCCCTTGCCGTTGCGGCGCTTGCCACTAGGGGCAGACGCAGCGCCGACCGACTCCGTGCCAACGAGGTCGACAGCAGCAGCAGAGGCAACAGAGGGCAGGAGGGGAGAGGGGGAGCACCCCTCAAAGAAAGGGGCACGGGGGTCACCACGAGAGGCTCCTACAGCAACTATACTCTTCTCAGCTGCAAGGAGGCGCTCCTCGAGGAGGTCAACAGTGAGCGTGGTGGGGCAAAGCGAGAGGAAGTGGTCCCTGACCGAGCAAAGGGAGTCAGGGAGCCGGGTAACGAGGTAGTAGAGAGTGATGTACATAGGGGGGGGGTTCTTGGCGCAGAACTCGGTAGGAAGCGCAGCTCGGTAGCGGGTGTCACTAGTGCGGAGGTGGGTAATGAGGTCAGCGACTGTGGCAAAAGCGGCTAGGTCAGGGAACAGGTACGGCAGCATGAGGCGGCTAAGGGCAGCAGTGGCAGGGGAGGAGTAGCGCGCAACAACAGCAGCGTACAGGGTGCTAGCACTCTTGTACTGACTAAAGTGCGCGCGCTCAGAGGACGGCAGGTGACTACGGACAGCAAGGCGAGCAGCAGCACCGCGTGGGGTCCAGACAGAGCGAACAGTGCTAGTAGCATCAGCAGCAGGGGCAGGGGAGGCACCAGACGTGAGATGGAACAGTGAGAGGCCGTCTTTGCTATCGCACTGCAGGAACAGCTGCAAATCATCGATCCAGACTTCAAAGTCTACCGCTCGACCCTCGGCATCAAAGGAAAGAACGTTGGGACTAGTCATGACAGCAGCAGCAGCAGAAGCAGGCTAGCAGAAGCAGGCTAGCAGGAGGGGCGCGGCTCGGCTGTGCGCTTACCAGGGGCGGGTGGGTAAGAACCCGCAAGTGGTGGGGCAGGGCCGAGGTGCGTCGGTAGGAGTAGGGCCGCAACAGGGCGGCAGGGCAGGGCCGCGACTCGGCTGCAGTGCAGGGCCGGGACGGCTGGGGCGGCTGTCATGGTAGCGGCGGCGGCCGCTGTCTCAGCAGTAGCCGCGGCAGCTGTCACAGCAGGAGCGGCGGCGGCTTGTGACGACAGTAGCGGCGGCGGCCGCCACGGCAGCAGCGGCGGCGGCGATCACGGCAGCAGCGGAAGCGGCAGCGGCAGCACGCGCGAATGCAGTTGCTGCTGGGGCGGCGGCGACAGGGCGGCTGGGCGTCTGTGGCGGGTCGCGAAGATCCGCGGAGGGGCCGCGATGAGCTGTGGAGGGGCCGTGAAGGGGGGGCCGCGGAGGGCCGCGAAGTGCCGCGAAGAGGCCGCGAAGGGCCGAGAGGGGGCCGCGGAGGGCCGCAAAGGGGCCGCTAAGGGCCGAGAGGGGGGCCGCAAAGGGCCGCAAAGGGGGCCGCGAAGGCCGCGAAGGGGCCGCGAAGGGCCGTGAGGGGGCCGCGAAGGGCCGCGAAAGGAGCCGCGAAGGCCGCGAAGGGGCCGCGAAGGGCCGTGAGGGGGCCGCGAAGGGCCTTAAGAGGGGCCGCGAGGGGCCGCTAAGGAGTCGCGACGAGGACCGCTAAGGGGCGGGGGGGTCGCGAAGTTTTGGGGCAGGACGCGAAGCGCGTTTAGGGCAGGAAAAAAAAATTTCGAATGGTGGGCCCAAGGAAGAAACCGTCCCACGAGGGAACCAGCTCTATACCATGTGAAGAAATGAGGAATGAAATGAACTAGGAAATGTTGTGTACAAATAGGAAACCCTAGAAACTTGTACCCCTTAGTGTCTACCCCACTATAGCCTACACAGACTAAGTCATATATATCTGACAGGCCCCCCCCGCGGGCGCTCCCGTTCGTCCTTAGTGCGCCCCCCCGCGGGCGCTCCCGTAGTGCTAAGGTTAGGTTTGCTATATCTACCCTTGTACTTGCTCATTCTAGTCATTCATTCTTCCAGTTCTATCTTTGACAGCTGCTGCTCTAGGCGCTAGTGAGTCCACTGCTCCAGGTGCTGGTGAGGCTGCTGCTCTAGGCGCTAGTGGGTCCACTGCTCCAGGTGCTGGTGAGTCTGCTCTCTCTGGTACTGCGCCTGCTGCGGCCTTGCACACTTTCACCCTTGACTCGGGTGCTTCCCGCTCCTTCTTTCGTGACTGCACCACACTCTCGCCGCTCAGTCGGCCAGTGGCAGTCTCTCTGGCTGACCCCTCTGGGGGTCCGGTCCTTGCACACTCCTCCACGGTCCTGCCGTGTCCGGCGGTCCCGTCTGGCTCTCTGTCTGGCCTCCACCTCCCCTCGTTCTCCACGAACTTGGTGAGTGGAGCTGACCTCCAGGACGCGTGGGTTGACCAGTTCACTCCCGGAGGTCAGCGGGTGACCCACTGTTCGTGTACTCGGACGGGCCGGCACCTGGCCACGTTCACCCGTCAGCCTGGGTCGAGCCTGTACACCCTGACTACCGTGTCTCCTCCGGTTGCTGAGTCTGGTCAGGTAGCCACGTCGGGTCAGGTGTTTGCTGCAGCGTCCCGGTCTGGCCCTTAGTCTGCCCCCTGCTCGTGTCGCCTCCTGTCTCACCAGACTCTCCTCTGGCACCACCGCCTTGGTCACCCCTCCCTGCCTCGTCTCCGAGGCATGGCCTCCCGTGTCCTTGTCGCTGGTCTTCCCCGGTCTCTCCCTCCCCTTCCCCCGGGGCCTGCCCCTACCTGCGTTCCTTGCGTCGAGGGGCAGCAGCGCGCCGCTCCTCACTCCTCCGAGTTCCCTCCGATGGAGGCTCCCCAGCAGACTCTTCACATGGACGTGTGGGGCCCAGCCCGCGTCCGTGGACAGGGTCACAAGCGCTACTTTCTGCTGGTCGTTGACGACTACTTGCGTTACACCACAGTCTTCCCCTTGCGCCGCAAGGGTGAGGTCACTGAGGTGCTGATCGACTAGATCCGCGCTGCCCGTCGTCAGCTCAGCGAGAGTTTCGGCTCGGACCTTCCTGTTCTGCGTCTGCACTCCGACCTTCTGCGAGCCTTCCGTCGTGCGGAGGGCATCCGCCAGACGTTCACGCTTCCGGCCTCTCCACACCAAAATGGGATTGTTGAGCGCCGCATTGGCATGGTCATGGACGTCGCTCGTACGTCCATGATCCATGCGGCTGCTCCCCATTTTCTGTGGCCGTTCGCGGTTCAGTACGCGGCGCATCAGATCAACCTCCAGCCCCGGGTCTCCATGCCGGAGACCACACCTACTCTGCGGTGGACGGGGAAGGTTGGCGATGCGACTGCGTTCCGTGTCTGGGGATCTCGAGCTTTCGTCCGCGACTTGTCTGCGGACAAGCTGTCCTCCCGTGCTGTTCCCTGCGTCTTCCTTGGCTTCCCCCCTGACGCGCCTGGCTGGCAGTTTTACCACCCCACCTCGCGCCGTGTTCTGTCCTCTCAGGACGTCACGTTTGACGAGTCGGTTCCTTAATACCGTCTCTTCCCCTACCGCACTGCCCCACTCCCCACCCCCGCCGCTCTTCCTCGCGCCAGGTCCTCCCCCGGTAGACCCCCTCCCCCCTCAGGGTCTTGCCCCCTGAGGTGTGTCCCAGGTAGACGCAGTCGAGCCTGTCGAGGTAGCGGTTGACTCTGGTGCTGCTAGGGGTGCTGAGCCTGCGGGTGTCGGGTCTGGGGGTGCTGAGCCTGAGCGTGTGGAGCCTGGGGTTGCTGAGTCTGGGGGTGCGGAGCCTGAGGGTGGTGAGCCTCCGCGTGTGGTGTCTGGAGGTGCTGAGCCTGGAGGTCCTTCGGGTGCTTCGTCCCGTCGGGAGCCGCTCTCTCCGCAGCAGCTGCGCGAGTGGTTTGCTAGGCGCTGAAGCCGTGCTGTTGGAGCTGGTGGTGCTGCGGGAGCTGGGAGTCTTGCTGCTGCTGGAGCTACTGGGGGGTCTGGAGCCCCTGGTCCTGGAGGTGTTCGTACTGGAGGTACTGGAGCTGCTGGGCCTGGTGGTGCTGCTGGAGCTGGCGGAGCTGGTGGGGGTGCTGCTGGTGCAGGTTCTGCTGGAGGTTCTGACCCTGGCGCTACTGGAGCTGCTGGGGCTTCTGGTGGTCCTGCTGGAGCTGGAGCTGCTGGCGGTGCTGGAGCTGGAGGTGCTGCTGGAGCCGGTGGTGCTGCTGGAGCCGGTGCTCCTGTGGGTACTGGCGTTGGCACTACTGGAGCTGCTGGAGGTGCTGCTGGAGCGGGTGGTGCTGCTGGAGTGGGAGCTGACGTTGGGGGTGCTGGTGCTGTCCCTGCTGGTTCTGGAGGCGCTGCGCGGCCGCGGCCGTACTTCGTTCCGCTCCTTGAGCAGGTTCTTGGCCTCCCGCCTTCTACTGGTCCTCCTCCTTCCTTAGAGTGTCCACCGCCTGTCCAGTCCCAGTCACAGTTACAGCCCGCCTCCGCACTGTCTGCTCCTTCTCCTTACACTGGTCCGACAGGAGGTCTTACGGAGCGTCGTGAGCCTGAGTCTCGTCCTGCGTCGCCTGTTCGTGCTGCTCGCACTAGTCGTCGTGGTTCGCATCAGCGTCCTCCTCCTGTCCCTGGCACGCACCAGATGGCTCTGCGTCCTTCCACTGCTCCGCAGCGCGTCCCTCTGCCGTCTCCTCCTGCGTCTTCTCTTCCTGCCCTTGCTGACCCGGAGTCTGACTCCCTTCGTGCTGCTAGTCCTACTGTCACGCGTCTCCTGGCCACTGTTGTCACTGACCCTTCCTTTGAGTCCACTGCTGCGTCTGCTCTTGTTGCTGAGCTTGTCGACTTTGCTGCTCAGTGTCGTCTAGACTACGCCGCTAGTCTTGTTGCTGAGTCTGAGTCTGTCTGTCCTCCGTCCGTCGGGGGTGAGTGTGCTCTTAGCACGGACGTCCTTGAGGACAGGCAGGAGGAGTTCCAGTATTTTGCTGCTGCTTTACCTCATCTCGTGTCCATGCTGCTTGCCCCTGAGGGAGACCCGGATGCACCAGACATCCCGACCCCGCGCTCTTACGCAGAGGCGATAGAGGGTCCCTACTCCTCTCAGTGGCAGACAGCCATGGACGCAGAGATGGCTTCCTGGAAGTCCACAGGCACCTACGTCGACGAGGTTCCCCCACCTGGGGCGAACATTGTCGATGGCATGTGGATTTTCAGGGTGAAGCGGCCGCCGGGTTCTCCGCCTGTCTTCAAGGCGCGTTACGTGGCTCGAGGCTTCAGTCAGCGGCAGGGAGTTGACTACTTTCAGACCTTCTCTCCCACCCCGAAGATGACCACTCTTCGGGTACTGCTGCACGTCGCTGCTCAGCGTGACTACGAGCTTCACTCTCTTGACTTCAGCACAGCCTTCTTGCAGGGCAGCCTGCACGAGGAGATCTGGCTGCGCCGCCCACCTGGCTTCAGTGGGTCGTTTCCTCCTGGTACCCAGTGGAGCCTCCGGCGGCCAGTCTACGGTCTCCGCCAGGCGCCCCGTGAGTGGCACGACACACTGAGGACTACGCTTGCGGCTCTTGGGTTTGCTCCTTCTACTGCTGACCCGTCGCTGTTTCTCCGCACCGACACTACTCTGCCGCCGTTCTACATCCTCATGTACGTCGACGACTTGGTCTTTGCTACTGCTGACACTGCTGGACTGGCCCACGTGAAGTCGGAGCTGCAGAAGAGACACACTTGCACAGACCTGGGTGAGCTGCGCAGCTATCTTGGCTTGCAGATTACCCGGGACAGAGCACACCGCACCATTACCTTGACTCAGTCACACATGGTGCAGCAGGTCCTTCAGCGCTTCAACTTCACGTACTCCTCGCCTCAGGCCACTCCTCTGTCTACTCGCCACTCGCTCTCAGCTCTGCCTTCGAATGAGTCCGTAGAGCCGAGTGGCCCGTATCCAGAGCTTGTTGGCTGCCTCATGTACCTGATGACCTGCACTCGAACTGACCTGGCATACCCTCTTAGCATCTTGGCACGCTATGTTGCTCCTGGGAGACACCGACCAGAGCACATGGATGCAGCTAAGAGGGTGTTGCGCTACCTGTGCAGTACTTCGGGCATGGGGCTCGTGCTTGGAGGACGGGCTCGAGTTGTCCTCACTGGTCACGCAGACGCTTCTTGGGTTGACGACTTGGCTACGCAGCGGTCGTCACAGGGTTACACCTTCAGCCTTGGTTCCGGCTATGTTTCGTGGCGGTCTACCCGCTCGTCTTCTGTTCTCAGCTCCAGTTGTGAGGCTGAGATCTACGCTGGGGCCATGGCTGCACAGGAGTTACGCTGGCTCACCTACCTGCTGATCGACTTGGGAGAGGCGCCTCGTTCTCCTCCAGTTCTGTACGTCGACAACAAGGCCATGCTGGCCTTGTGTCAGGAGCACAGACTGGAGCACAGAACGAAGCACATTGCTCTGCGCTACTTCCTTGCTCGAGAGTTGCAGCAGCGTGGTCAGCTTCGTCTTGCTTACGTGGCCACTCGGGCCAACACTGCTGATATCTTTACCAAGGCACTTCAGCCTTGTGATCATCAGCGCTTTTGTACTATGCTAGGTCTTGTACCTACTTGGCCTCACTTGCTCACTTCTTGACTTTGCTTGTACTGTGATCTATATATACCTGCACCTGCATTCTTACCCTTGCTAGGTTGAGATCACTGTCTTGTTTGTTCACCTTGATATATAACTCTGAATGTGAACTGGCCTTGTGGCCTTGTGCTTGTGCTAAGAATGCGTGGTGACATCGTGATCCACCTTGAGCTTAACCTTGTCTTGTTCTCTTGCTTGTCCCCCACTTTGCCTATGGGGGTGTGTCAGAACTATACTCTAGGCTGTAGTGGGGCACTCCTTATGGGGTACAGCCCTGTTAGGTTTTGCCTATACAAACCTTGTACTGATCTCATTCTAGTCATTCCTCGTTTTTATTCTCACAGCGCGCACTGCTAGTAACGCGCCCCGCTAGCGTGCACCTTGCTTGTATTGTGCATGCGCTAGCAGCGTGCACCGCCAGCATGCGCCCCGCCAGCAGACCGCGCGCTCCCGCATCACGCACCGCCAGCAACGCGTGCACATCAAGCAGAGCATACCGCGTGTAGCGTCCGCCATCGCCAATACGCCTGCAGTGTGCGTCTCTTTGAGGAATGCGCTCATCCCTAGCTCCCGACCTTCGCTGCTTCCCTCGCTACTGCTCAGCCATCCCCGGCCGAGGAGACTGCAGCTCTTTCTGCCACTGGTTGGCAGAAACGAGGCAAGGGAGGTAAGAAGGTGGGAAAGGGTGGTAGGGTTGGAGGTGGTGGAGGTGGTGGAGGTATTGGAGGGTCGGGACTGGTACTGGTGCGTCGGGACTGTGGGTCCGGCCGGGGTGGGGGAGGTGCTGGTACTGGGAGTGTGGCAGGGACATACAGCAGCAGTAGCAGCCTTAGCAGCAGCAGCCACAGCAGCAGCAGAAGGTGTAGCAACAGGTGAAGCAGCAGCAGCAACAACAGTGGGGACCGCAGTAGTAGTGGGGTCATCCGCAGCAGTGGAGACCTGGTGATCCTTGGAGAGTCGCCACAGCAGCGCTCCTGGCAGCTGGGGGGCTCGTCGCGTTGGCCCCGACGTCGGGCCCTGCCAGGACCAGATCCTGACTGGCCTTGGTGCCACCACTATCTGCAAACGCCTCGACCACTCCATTCTGAGCTGCTTCAGTCACCTCGGATATCTCTTTCGCTCTTGTCACGGAACTGAGCGATTCTCCTGGACTGACTCACTCTGCTGAGTCATGGTTACAAGGTGTTTACAAGGTGCTTGTCATGTATATTCTGTCATGTATGGTGTTGACCACAGTGCTGCTGAATCTGTTTTCTCGCGTGTACCTAGACTACGATCTTTGCTTGACTCTACTGTAGCTGCTTGTGCTGTTTTTTGCTAGCCCAGGTGTGACTACTGCTAATGCGTCTCTTTCCTTCACGCTCGACTCTGGCGCGTCACAGTGCTTCCTCCGCGACCACACCATTGTCACACCAATTCCAGCTCCGGTCACTGTTTCTTTGGCTGATCCCACTTCTGGACTAACCGTCGCTCGCAGTACTACCACGCTCCCATGTCCGGCCGTCCCCTCAGGTTTCCCTCGCAGGTCTCCACGTCCTCTCGTTCTCCAGGAACTTGGCGCGTGTTGGACGTCTCCACGACTTGGTAGTCACCAACACAGGATGTTTGCGACCTGTACGGACGCTACCACAGGGTCACGGCTTGCCACGTTTCCCTGGGAGCGTTCGTCTGGTCTCTTCACGCTGCACACTGCGTCCCCTCTGGTGGCTGCATCTGGTTAGGTTGTTGCATCATGCTCCTGTCGGCTTTGTGAGAATCCCATACTTGGGATGAGAGGTGAACTCTAGAGTTGATTTGATTAGAAAGATCGTGGGTACATATAAGCGATGAGAAGTGGGGGACCTAGGTTGGGTACCCGCAACATTATTGGTGAGCCAATGGGGGTGGCCACCAATAATGTTTTGGAGGTGGCTGCCAATTATTGGGGGGCCTGGTTCCCCCCGCCAATTGTGGCAGAGTGGGGATGGGACGCGCCCAACCAGAACTGGTTGGGGCGCCTTGGCCTAAAGTGTACACCCATGTTTGGGTGTTACACTTGCACATTTACAACCCAACTGATGGTATAATATAACACAACCCCTTAGCAGAAGAAGGGTTTAAATATGCACAACCCCTCAATTTTCAAGCCGGGAGGGGGACTGCTGCAGGTGAGGAGGCAAGCCAGCCCAAGGTGCTGCGGCGGTGAGGTCGCACGCCAGCCGGGAGGGGGGGGCTGCTGCAGGTGAGGAGGCAAGCCAGGTCGAAGCGAGGGGAAGCAAGGAGGAGGACGCGAGGGGAGACGCGGAAGCGAGGGGGAGAGGAGGGCGGGATGGGCCGGAGGAGGAGGAAGCGAGGGGGGAGGAGGGCTGGAATGCCCTGAGGAGGAGGAAGCGAGGGGGGAGGAGGGCTGGAATGCCCTGAGGATGAGGAAGCGAGGGGGTTGGGTGCCCTGAGGCGGAGGAAGCGAGGGGGGAGGAGGGCTGGAATGCCCTGTGGAGGCGGAAGCGAGGGGGGAGGAGGGCTGGAATGCCCTGAGGAGGAGGAAGCGAGGGGGGAGGAGGGCTGGAATGCCCTGAGGAGGAGGAAGCGAAGGGGGAGGAGGGCTGGAATGCCCTGAGGAGGCGGAAGCGAGGGGGGAGGAGGGCTGGAATGCCATGAGGAGGAGGAAGCGAGGGGGGAGGAGGGCTGGAATGCCCTGAGGAGGAGGAAGCGAGGGGGGAGGAGGGCTGGAATGCCCTGAGGAGGCGGGAGCGAGGGGGGAGGAGGGCTGGAATGCCCTGAGGAGGCGGAAGCGAGGGGGGAGGAGGGCTGGAATGCCCTCAGGAGCGGAAGCGAGAGGAGACGCGGAAGCGAGGGGGGAGGGGAATGCTGCAAGGCCCTGAAGAGGAGAAGGCGAGGGGAGAGGAGAGGGCTGGATGGCCCTGAGGAGGAGGAGCAAGGGGAGAGTAAGCTAAAAGGCTTCAAGGAGAAGGTATAGAGGGAAAAGGGGGCGGAAGCGTGTTGAAGAGAGGGTGAAGGTATGGAGGAACGCTGTGAGGAGCGGCGTGGTGGGCGAAATGCCCTCGGGAGCGAGACTGACGGGCGAAATGCCCTCGGGAGCGAGACTGACGGGCAAAATGCCCTCGGGAGCGAAACTGACGGGCGAAATGCCCTCGGGAGCGAAACTGAGGGGCGAAATGCCCGCGGGAGCGAAACCGACGGGCGAAATGCCCTCGGGAGCGAGACGGACGGGTGAAATGCCCTCGGGAGCGAGACTGACGGGCGAAATGCCCTAGGGAGCGAGACTGACGGGCGAAATGCCCTCGGGAGCGAGACTGACGGGCGAAATGCCCTCGGGAGCGAGACTGACGGGCGAAATGCCCTCGGGAGCGAGACTGACGGGCGAAATGCCCTCGGGAGCGAGACTGACGGGCGAAATGCCCTCGGGAGCGAAACTGACGGGCGAAATGCCCTCGGGAGCAAGATTGACGGGCGAAATGCCCTCGGGAGCGAAACTGACGGGCGAAATGCCCGCGGGAGCGAGATTGACGGTCGACGCGTTTGTCCCGCAGGTCAGCGCGTTCGTCCCGCAGGTCAGCGCGTTCGTCCCGCAGGTCAGCGCGTTCGTCCCGCAGGTCAGCGCGTTCGTCCCGCAGGTCAGCGCGGGCGTCCCGCGGGTCAGCGCGTTCGTCCCGCAGGTCAGCGCGTTTGCCCCGCAGGTCAGCGCGGACGTCCTGCTGGTCGGCGCGGATAAGTGCCGCAAACGCCGCGAAGGAAAGCCTGAGGAAGGGGAGCATGCTTGTGGTGCAAAGACCATGAAGGTGGCACGGGGCCGAGGATCTCCTAGGACAGCACGGTGGCTGGAGGTTCCTAGGGACGGGGAAGGTGGCGTTAGCCAAAACAACTCTGATACCATGTGAGAATCCCATTGTTGGGATGAGAGGTTAACTCAAGAATTGGTTTGATTAGAAAGATCGTGGGTACATATAAGCGATGAGAAGTGGGGGACCTAGGTTGGGTACCCGCAACATTATTGGTGAGCCAATGGGAGTGGCCACCAATAATGTTTTGGAGGTGGCTGCCAATTATTGGGGGGCCAGGTTCCCCCCGCCAATTGTGGCAGAGTGGGGTTGGGACGCGCCCAACCAGAACTGGTTGGGGCGCCTTGGCCCAAAGTGTACACCCATGTTTGGGTGTTACACTTGCACATTTACAACCCAACTGATGCTATAATCTAACAGGCTTCTCACCCAGTTGTCGCTCCTGTGGCACCACCGTCTTGGTCACCCTGCACTCCCACATCTCCTTTGCGGAGAGTCACTCTACAAAGTGGTATTGTCTCAAGTCTCTCTCGCCTGCTCCGCCGTGCACTCCTTGCGCCAAGGTTCGGCAGCATGCTGCCCCTCATTCCTCCTCATTTGTACCACCCACTGCCCCTCTTCAGTCTTTCCACATGGACGTCTAGGGCCCTACTCCAGCCTTTGGGCTGCGCCGGGAGGGCTACTTCCTGGTGGTTGTGGACGACCTCTCCCGCTACACCACGGTGCTTCCCCTGCAATGGAAGGTCGACGTGCATGATGGTATGATCCCGTGGATAGTGGGAACAGGCCTTCCTCTGCTTCATGTACACTTTGACCATGGGGGTGAGTTATGCTCGAGCTGACTTGCTGAGTTCTGTCTCGAGCAGGGCATCACCTAGTCCTACACGATTCTAGACTCACCACAATAGTATGGGGTTGATGAGCGCCGCATAGGCTTGGTCACGGAGATCACTCATCCCTCCATGGTTCATGCCTGTGTGCCCCAAAAGTTTGCAGCCCTCTCGCTACACCGCTCATCAGCTGATCTTGTGGCCTGAAATCTCGCGCCCACAGGATTCACCGACCAGTCTTTGGACTGGGTCACCTGGTGTCACGTCTGCGTTTCGTGTATGGGGCTGCCTTGCGCATGTCCGCAAGCCTTGCTTGGACAAGCTGTCAGCGTGCACCCTCCCTTGTGTCTTCATTGGTTTTCTAGTTGACGCCCCTGACTGTCTGTTTTACCACCCGTCCACCCCTCAGTTCTTTGACTCCCGCGACGTCACTTTAGACGAGTCACTGTCCTTCTACGTACGGTATACCATCCCCTCGTCCCCTCTCCCGTTCCTCCTTGTCCCGATCCTTCGGCAGTCCCACCCAACCCAGGTCCTGCCCCGTCTGGTGTATCTCACGCTACCCTTCTTTCCCTCGATAGCACCTCCTGTGTCGTCTCCTTTACCTCAGTCCCATGCGTCGTCCTCACAATCACCACAACAGACTTTGGTGCTACCGCGGCAGGTTGCAGTGGACTCTGGGGGTGCTGACTCTGAAGGAGCTGATACAGGAGGTGCTGGTTTGGTTGTGCGTGTAGAGCTGACCTTGGCGCTGGAGGTGCTGATGCTAGCGGTACTGGTTCCGATGATGTTGCCGTTGGAGAGCCTGCCCCAGTAATCCTGCGTCGTTCGGCAAGGCTACAGCTCCTACGGCAGCAGGAGCAACACAAGCAGCAGCGGCAGCAGCAGTAGCCGCAGCAACAGCAGTCCCAGACGCAGCTGCAGCAGCCACCGCCTTAAACACCTTCATTGCTTGGCTTCTTGCAGCTGAATGAAAGCGATCTACGACTGCAAAGTTTTCAAACTGATGGTGATATAGAATATATCAGTTACATTGCTTCAAGTCGTAGACGACTGAATGAGGAATCAAGCGTCTGCAGCCACTTCCCTACCGGCATCCACAGCAGGGTGTAGCAGAGGAGATATATGGACTTTACTAACAATCATGCGCAAGCTGCTTTTGCAAGCATGCCTGCGAGTGCATTGGACTTTTGTGATGGAACGTGCTATGCTGTTGCACAACTTGCTGCCACGCAATAATTTTGCACCCTACAAGGAGTGGACAAGGAAGTTGGGCAGTGCAACATTGTTACGAGTCTTCGGTTTTATGTTGTAGTTCCCTCCATCAGATACACCTACTAAGTGATACTTGCATGGGAAAAAAATGGCGTTTCATCTTGGCATATAAACATTTTATGCAGCTTGGAAGATTTGGCATGTAAAGGACAAAGTGACTGCCCCAGCAAATACTCACGTCAAACTTTTGATCTGACATGGTGAACACGTTAAATTTTGACCACATCAGCAGTCAACTTATTCCATTGAAGTCTGACATATCAATGTGAAAAGGGCTTCAATGAACGATGTTTATACCAAAATAGGGTGATGTTTGACATGGTTAATATCAAAAGAGGGGTCCTTATCAGGGCTCTGGATATCAGACGAATTCCGTCAGATGGTCTAAAAATCAGACTCGTAATAGAAGCCTGCCTGGGTTCAATGGTCCACCGTAAAGAACTTGGCGATTTCCTGCCAGCGCACATAAAAGTGCTGCCATGCAGGTGTCCCGTAGCGACTTGTCGGTGTCGCCAAAACCCTTTGAAAATGTTCTTCTCGCATGAATCCTCCCCCCCCCCCCCCCCTATCTTGAAAACCTATCTGCTTCATCTGTCTCATAAAGCCCCCTTTACCCAGTGGGACCATGTGCTTTGCTTCATTCGTTTTCTTGTTCCCAACAGGACTTCCAAGTTCATCAAAGCGCCCCGCGAAGTAGATCATCATGGCGTCAGACCCTGGTCCATCTGACAAGGGTCACACCATCAGTGGAACAGCCCCCGCAGTAAGCGATGGCTCGCGGCTGATAGCACTAGATTTCCCGACACGTGGCGCTAGTAAGAAAACTCCCCCACCCCAGTTTCATCAATAATCATATTAGAACGCGCCGTCGCGTCAGCAACCTTGGTCGCCTCATCGAGAAGCGTCTCCCCCAACGTCCCGTTTAGAAACGCGTGCAGCAAACCCCGCCGATGAACCCTCCTCCTCAAAAGGCAGACGCCCGGCAACGCAAACCATGTCCTGCCTGCAAAACGGCATGGCAAATCGAAGTACATGCAATGTAGTCTTAGCTTCGCACACCCTACAGCTGCACCTGCCGCTCCACGATGTATTAACTATGAGGCAACTCAGTCTACTCCCGCGAAGCGTTGTGCTGAGATGCCCGGGATTCCGATGGTCAAAGAATTGCAGCTCAATTGCAAGGAGCACTCGCAACAACATATTCCGTGGCTTCGGATAGGAGAGACGAAGGACGGACAGCCGGCGACGAAGTGCATGGTCTGCATGGTGTACGGTTACCCGAACTACAAATACGGTCGGAATTGGAGCGGCGGGATCGACATAGTGACAAACTATGCAAAAGCTTCAGCACTCCATCGAACATGAGGCCGCGGTCAGAAGGAAAGAGCAACGGGATGCGAAGCAGAAAACCCAAGAGACAATTGACGGCGTCCAGACAACTGACGACGTGGCGAAACAGTTGGCGCAAATTTTGGCAATCGTGCACTTCATTTGCAAGTCCGACTCACCCATTGTCTTGTTTGTGCCCCTGGTGCAATTCATGGCTGAGCAAGGCACACCCGACGTGCCCTTGCGGGAGAACGGCACATAGTACTTAGAGTGAGAAATGTAATTTGCATCGAAAATTAAATGTCCGTTATCTCTTTTATTGTTTTTAGCCTGTATTAATCTCGGTCGCTATTTGTGCAGGTACGCATTCGCGCAATAGTAGAGACTCTAGTTTTATACCTGCAGGCAAAGCAGCTGGAGCACATCCCCTGAATCCCCTACGTCGGCATCCAGCTGGATGAGAGCACTGACAGGCACCGCGTCAAACATATGATCGTCTACCTTACCTTCATTCTAGACAACGATGTCGTCACGGAGATGTTCGCGCATCTGTCGGTGGACAAGTGCGACGCTGGATCACTCAAACTTATTCTGCTCACCCACCTGGAATCAAACGGTGTGAATCTCCAGCGCATTTGCGGCATCAGCACTAACGGGGCCAGCGTGATGATGGGTGACAAGAATGTTGTCGTCGCACGACTACGCACCAACATTCCCCACCTTGTGTCGTGTCACTGCATCGCACACAAGTAAGTACTACAAATACTTATCAACAACAACAGTCCGGCTTTGCTTTTAACGTAAATCTAATTATCGTCATTGTCATGTGCAGGGAAGCACTTTCTACAAAGGATGCAGCGATCGCATATCCCGACATGCGACTCTTGGGCAGAGTTGCTGGGCCGATCGAGCAACCAACACAGATTTGTAGGAGGTTTTGTGCGAGGCAAACCTTGAAATGAAAAAAATTCACAACATTCGCTGGCTCTCACGTGGGGCCGCGATGCAACGGCTTATGGATGTTTTGCCAGCGGCGATCATACTCATGTTCGAGTATGACCGCAAAACGTATAACAACGTCACTCCTTTTATGTTCCATTTTCTGCTGTTTCTCCTTGCTGATGTCTTGAACGAGCTCAACGCCCTCAACCTCAAGTTTTAGAAGCGACTTGTGAGTTTCTACTTTGGTAGCATGCTTGTGGATTTGTTATACCTTTGCTAACTGGCTTGCACTATTGATAGGCAGGTGGGCGTGTACCATGTGCAATAGATCACCGACAACACCAAGATGGCTTTGAAAAGCCGGTACATGTGCGACGGTGGCAACTTCTGGGTGGGTAGCGAATCCCTTCACACGTTTCTTGAGCAACACGCGGAGGCGGGAGACCGAGTTGTGGCTGTGGAGGGTACAGACGCAGAAGGGATGAGGAGAAAGTGTTTCTCCTTGTCTACGTCGATGACATTCTCCTCTTCTCTCCATCCCTGGAGAGGATCAAGGAGGTGCAAGGGAAGCTGAAGAAGACCTTTCAATGCAAGGCCCTTGGACCAGTGGGGTATTACCTTGGTCTTCACGTGGAGCGGGACGAGGTGAAGGGATGGTTGAGGCTTCACCAACACAAGTACCTTGCAGCCATGGGGGAGAGGTATGGGCTGGAGGAAGGGAGGAGTGTAAAGACTCCACTACCCTCAGGATTTCAGCTACACCTTGATGAAGAGGAGGGTGAGGTGTTGGAGCCCGAGTTGCAGCGTCGGTTCCAGTCAATGGTGGGGAGCTTGATGTATGCTTCGGTCAACACTCGCCCCGATATTTCATTCGCGGTTTCGCAGCTGGCTCGTGTGGTGTCTAGGCCCCTTCAAGAGCACCTTGATGCAGCAGAGAGGCTGGTGAGGTACTGCATGGCAACCTCAAGGGTGGGGCTGCAATATTCAGTG